TTTAAGAGCGAACTTAATGGATTTCCTGTTTCTAACGTGGATGGTGGCTGTCATTTTTGAAGGATCCATCTGTGCTATATTTAATGACTCTCTCTTAGTAACTCAAATAGTTTCCACAGAGTTAATGAGGCCTCAACTGGCATTCTCTCCTACAGTGGCCATTGCAGTGACTTGCACCTCCAAAATGTGTTAAATCACGTTTCTTCCCTGGTCAGAGGCAGCTCAGCCCACAACCCACTGGCCCCACATCCCTCTCTGTGCCTGAGGCTGGCTGCCCCCGCCCTGCACACCTTCTGCACCCTCCGAGCCTCTGCCCCTCACCGGTGGCCGAGCAGCACCTGGTTGTCACCTGCCCCGGCCCCCCCACATCCCACGTGCCCCGGCCCCCCACGTCCCACCTGCCCCGGCCCCCCCACATCCCACGTGCCCCGGCCCCTGTGTCCCACCTGCCTCGGCCGCCACATCCCACGTGCCCCGGCCCCTGTGTCCCACCTGCCTCGGCCCCCACGTCCCATGTGCCCTGGACCCCCGACATCCCACCTGCCTCGGCCCCCACGTCCCACCTGCCCCATCCCCACATCTCACCTGCTCTGGCCCCCAGTGATGCTGCTCGTCTCACCTGCCTGAGGCACCGCAGTCGTCCCACCCTGCCTCTCTCTCGTCCCGCATGCTGCCGGCCTACAGGACTTCCGTCTGGAAAACCCCAGCTCAGGCTCCACCCCAGTGCTCTGCCTGGCCAGCAATGCACCGTGTCCCTAGGCTGGCCTGGGACTCTCCATCCTCTGATTGAGGTCCCCAAGGCTGGTGGTGCATGAGTGTGCTGCTGGCCGCCCAGCCTAGCCCTTCCCAGAGCATCCTCCAGGCGTTCCTCCACGTGTTCCCACGTGCCCTGGGCTGCCAGGCGCAGATCGCGCCTCTTGGTGGCAAATCTTCTGGTTCTTCAGTGGCAGAGGGTCCCTCCTCAACCTCTGATTCCCATAAATAGAAAAGGAATGTCAGCATGCACCTCTGCCTGGGTGTTATTTGGGGAGCAGGTGCCTAGGAGCTTGGCTGCGGAGTGAGGGACCCCGGCCGTTGTGAGGATGAGGAGGGCTCTCTGCTCCACCCTGTGGTCTCTGCCTGCCCTCTGCCCCCATGCTGCACTGGCTTCTCTGGTGGTTCAGACCCGTCCATAGCCATGCCTCCTCACACCTGTGCACACAGGGCCCGCCCAGCTGGAATGTCCCCGGGAGTCGCCCCTCGGTCGCCCCTTGGCTCTGCAGAGCCAGATCTAGGGTGAGTTTTTCTTTGGCTGTTTTTAAATCGGTGTTCTTAAAACAAGTAGCACAGGACCCTGCGATCTAGGAGGCGAGCATGGGACAGTGAAAACCCTACAAGCCCTCGGGCCTCAGGGGACACCCTTCCTGGGCCAGCCAAGCAGGCAGCAGCGAGGCCGGGGTCCTCAGAGCCACCGATTTAGGGCTGAGAGCTGTGTGGCCCTCTGCGTCAGTCACTACTTAACATTAGTGATTCGCACTTGGAGATTTAGTTCAGAGAAACCACAGTTCCATCTGATTCCAGGGCAGTGAAATTGTGTCACCAATGGTCACGGGAAGGGTGGGAGAGAGTGTGTCTGGTTTTGCACTTGGAGAACTGGAGCGATCAGGGGCCTCAGGGCCTATAGCAGTGTGCGTTCTCTCGTGGACTGTACGAGCAAGCGTCCGGTCTGTGTCCTGCAGAGCAGGAAGGTCGGGTGTGGGGAGCTTCCCTGGGTCTTGCCCTGCCCGGCCTCTACCCATTTGGGTCAGGGCTGTCTTCACAGGGTGCCGGAAGGGTTGGTACTGAAGCAACCTGCAGTCCCCCTTAAATGTGGAGACGTTTGCTCCCCTCCCAGGAGGGGTCGGGGCAGCCCAGGGCGCAGTGGTGGGGATGTCCGTGTTCCCGGGGCTCAGCATCTCGTGGGGCCTCGGAAGACAGACAGTGTGTGCAGCTGCAGCCACCAGGCCTCGTGCCCCGTCAGCGATGGTGAGAACTGATTCCAAAGTCTAGAGCTCTGGGGAGCCGCTCCGAGAGGCACCGTGTGGCAGTCGCCATTGTCTGCAGATTTTCTTTTCCCAGTACTTTGGGGCGCCCCACGGTGAAGCCTCTCTCTTCTGTGTGCCCCACACCTCCTGTGGCTCCAGCCCTGACATCCAGAGCCTTCAACCCTAAACTGTCTCCAGCAAGGCAGTTATGAGGCTGCATCCTCGTTTCTGCCTGTCCTGATGCCCTGAGACGCCTGTCAATGGCACAGTACGGTTACCTGCAGCGCTGGCTGGGCCTGCAGGCCACAGGCTCCTGCCTTGGGCCCCAGCGTGGCTGTGGATCTGTGTGAATCCTGAGCGGGAGGGCAGCTGAGAGGCACCAGCGCCCACCTGTGCCTGGGTGCTGGGGCGCTTGCATCTCCTCTGCACCAGCATCGGGGCATCCAGCAGGCAATGAGCAATTAATATGGTGCACCAGGCGAGGTGCCAGGGCAGGAGTGGGGCGTCGCACCCTGTCCAGCGGGCAGGGCTCAGGAGCGTCTCCCTGGACCCTGCACAGGCAGCTTCTCTGGTGATTGGACCAGTGCTGTCTGTGTCACAGGAAGGAGAGCAGTGGCCGTGGAAGTGAATGTTCCCCACAAGAGCTGCTGCCCAGTTCCCCAGGCAGAGCGTGCCAGGCTCCTCCTGGGGCTGTGCTCAGTCTCCCGGAAGGCCCAACACAGCACATGGTGGAAACGACGCCGGGGCAGTGGAGTGGAGCAGGGGCCCTCCTGGAGCCGTCCCCCTGCTAAAGGGAAGGGAGGTCCTGGGGAAGAGCAGGGCGTGCAGATGCTGATGCCCGGCGGGCAATGCGTGCAGCTGCGCAATGGGAGAGGCGCCGAGGGGGCGAGGACTGCCCTCACCAGCAGCGTCTGCTGTGGCCCTGCGTGTTGCCACCTCGTTCGGGTGCCTCAGGCTCGCTTCATGCAGCGCTGGTGTTTGCTGGGTGAGAGCTGCCTGGAGAGCCCTGGCCCTGGCCCTGGCGCTGGCGCTGAGGCCGCCCTGGCAGCGTGCTGCTTATTGACTTTCCTGGGGACGCGTCGTCCGCCACGCTGAGGCGGAGAACAATGGCGGCCCTTGTGCATGCCGCGCAGCTGCTGGAATTCCACAAGACCCAAGCGAAGGAAACAAGCAGGTGGGCCCAGGGCAACCCTTTCCTTCCCAGGGCGCTCGCAGGGCCCAGCCAGCTGGGCGGCTCTGGCTTCCGTGGGGAAGATGGGGCCCAGCGAGCCTGGGGTGTAGGCGAGGTGGAGGGGGTCCCGCTGCAAGACCAGCAGGCGTCAGCTTGGCAGCCTGTGCCCTCCACAAGCCGGGGCAGCATAAGGACCGACCGTCTGTCCATTCAGAGACCAGGGCCGCGCTGCCTCCACGCACACCCATCTGTTTATTCAGTAATGGGTGCACATCAGTGTGGACTTGCAGGCGTTTATTTTGTACTTTGGGTTACAATCCAGTGCTGCTGTAGCAGCTTCTTCACAGGGTTTTGACTTCACCATAATATCTCAGATACAGACGAGTTGCACCAGTGGTGCTCCCCATGAGCCTCCATCCGCTTCCCCTCCGCACTCTCCCATCCTCTGTGGTGGGTAGACGCTGCCCCCATAAGCCTCCATCCGCGTCCCCCCTGCACTCTTGCTCTCCCATCCTCTGTGGTCATAGTAGACGCTGCCCCCCACTCAACCTCCATCCGCGTCCCCACACTCTCCCATCCTCTGTGGGTGTGGGAAAAAACACCCCCATAGCCTCCATCCACATCCCCCTGCACTCTCCCATCCTCTGTGGTGCGTGACGCTGCCCCATAAGCCTCCATCCGCGTCCCCCCTGCACTCTCCCATCCTCTGTGGTGCGTAGAGCGCGCTGCCCCCATGAAGCCTCCATCCGCTTCCCCTCGCACTCTCCCACATCCTCTGTGGTGCGTGAGCGCCATCCTCTGTGGTGCGTAGACGCTGCCCCCATAAGCCTCCATCCGCTTCCCCTCCGCACTCTCCCATCCTCTGTGGTGCGTAGACGCTGCCCCCACAAGCCTCCGCCCGCGTCCCCCCTGCACTCTCCCCTCCACTCTGGCGCGTAGATGCTGTGGCGGTGTGAGTCGTGTGATCGTTGTCATGCTGGGCGGTGGGTGGCCTCTGTCCCATCCGGCATCCTCAGAGCCCAGGAGGGAGCCTGGCCTGTGGGGTCTCCGGGCCCCTGGGATGTGACCGGCCATGGACAGACGTGAGCTGTGGGCAGTTTCCAGCAGCCACATTCATGGTGGCTTCACCTCTGAGAACAGCACTGGGATGGTGACCCGCATCTGCATTCTTATGCCGAGTTTCCAGTGGGAAGGATCTGTTGGGCCCCTACATGTCCCCCACATCCAGCGGCAGAGCTGCTGCCTTATCCTGGGCCCGTGAGGGACTGACCAGTGTTGGTTCCATGTGGACCAACCATGACCTGCCTCTGCATCTTTGCCTGGCTTCCATGCCCGCTTGGGAAGGACAGGGCCAGAGGGAGACACTGCCTCACACAGAGGCCGGGCTGCGGCCCCAGTGCTGCTTCCGGGCTGGGGAGAAGGTGAAAGCTGTTTTCATGCAAACCTACGGGAGGGCAAAGGCTTCCCCCAGACATCCGCTGGCAGCACGTGTGCTGGGCGCATTCTCAGATGTCAGGTCTGTGCAGCGTCCTGCGGGGTGGCAGGTGGCGGCCCTCAGAGCCGGGCCTTTCCCTCCAGGGCAAAGGGTGCCGAGGTCATGGGAAGCCCTGACCTGGGCCCCGGGTCCCACACCAGAGCTCCCACTCCTGCAGACCTGACCTTGCATGTCGGTGCTGAGACTCATACGTGGGGGTTGGTGCCTCTTCGTAGCAAGGTCAGCCCTATTTTAAGGACCGTTTCCACTAAACTGAGTTTCTGAAATGATTTCTTTGTGAAATGTGTGGCTTCCATTAACTCACCCTTGGTATGTCTCATTGTCGTTTTAGGATGGGAGTCCCAGCTTCTGGAAACAGGGTTCCTGGGGATCTTCCTGTGCCCGCTGTGGACGCTGTCGAGGCTGCCCCAGCACACCCCCACATCCCGGATTGTCCTGTGGGGCTTCCGGTGGCTGATCTTCAGGATCATGCTTGGAGCAGTAAGTGGAGCTCTTCTGTGTGGTGTTTGGGGAATAACGGTGGCTCTTTAACCTGTGCGGCTTCTAGGAGAGGTGAGCCTGTTTCCCTCCTCCCCCGCCGCCCTCTGTCCTCCCGTCGGCATGGCCTGGCCAACAGCCGCTCTTCTGCCCCTTCAGGGGCCTGTGTTTGAACGCTGGGGGCGCAGCTGGCTTTTCGCAGGCGTGTTCATGGTCACCGTTTCTGGGAAAGAACCACACCTCTGAGTCCATTTCAGGAGACTCAGAGAGGAGCACTGGGCACTCTGCTTCCCCCTCCACCAGCCCTCCTGGGCTTGCTGGAGTGTCCGAAATATTTCAGAGCTTGTTTTTAAATGAGAGAGTCTCAGGCCATGGTGGGCGTGTCGGCAGACATATTCGAGGGTGAAGGAGGCATGAGACCCGCCGTCCTGATGCTCAGGGAAAGCGCGGCCTCCGTGCATGTGACCCGTCTCTCAACTGCGTCCTTCCCGGGTGCCTGGCCTGCTGGGCTTTGGCGTCTGTTAGGACTGTCAGACTGTCCGGGTTCCCTGCCGAGCCCCGGCGTGGGGGTGGCGGGTTCCCTGCGGGGCCCCGGCGTGGGGGTGGCGGGTTCCCTGCCGGGCCCCGGCGTGGGGGTGGCGGTCTGTGTGTGCTTCCTGCCCAGCCAGGGGCTGCCCATCTGCGTCTGCCCTGCACACGGTGAGGACACATGCCAGCCCTGTGTTCAGCTTCAGTAATGTGACCTCTGAGTTCACAAAGACATGATTTGCACTTTAAAATCAGGAGTGACGTGGCCCTTTTGACGTCTGCTGCACTGACCAGAGCTATGCAGCTCTCACTGTCTCTTCCACTTCACATGCTTTGTTAGTAAGATTTTAATTTTGTGCTGGAATGATAAAATCTTCATGTTTTTGTGTTGGAAACCACGTCATACAGATACGCTCTCTGAGCATCTGTTCGCTTAAGTGTTTCGTGGAGGATCCGCTGAAGACTTACAGAAGAGTTGGGCAAAGCCCCAAGGAACTTGTCCCCACCCCACCCGACAGCACGTGCTCATGCCAGGGCCACGGCCAGAGCGTGCCGCCATCTCGGCCACTCCTTTAGTCCGGAATGTTCCTCTTCTCTCCCTGGCCTTGAGGCGTGACTGCTGTGCCTGTGTTCAGCTTCAGGTCATTCGGGTAGGGGGCCCGAATGCTGGGCAGCCCCTTTCACCCTGTCCCCCGGGGCAGCTTCAGACACTTCGGACACCCAATCTCGACACAGCACCAGCCACGGACTCAGGAAGCCACGACCTCACGTGGCTTGTGGTATCATGTAACATGGTTCACTGTAGCATGAAGTGTGGTTCAGTGTAGCGTGTAGTGTGGTTCAGTGTAGTGTGTAGCGTGGCTTACTATAGCGTGTAGCGTGGTTCTGTGTAGTGTGCTTGGTGTAGCGGGTAGTGTGGTTCAGTGTAGTGTGTAGTATGGTTCAGTGTAGTGTGGTTCGGTGTAGCGTGTAGTGTGGTTTGGTGTAGCGTGTAGTGTGGTTTTGTGTAGTATGGTTTGGTGTAGCGTGTAGTGTGGTTCACTGTAGTGTGTAGTGTGGCTTGCTATAGCATGTAGCATGGTTCTGTGTAGCGTAGCTTGGTGTAACAGGTAGTGTGGTTCAGTGTAGTGTGTAGTGTGGTTTGGGGTAGCAGGTAGTGTGGTTCAGTGTAGTGTGTAGTGTGGTTCAGTGCAGTGTGTAGTGTGGTTCGGGGTAGCGGGTAGTGTGGTTCGGGGTAGTGTGTAGTGTGGTTCGGGGTAGCGGGTAGTGTGGTTCGGGGTAGCGGGTAGTGTGGTTCAGGGTAGTGTGTAGTGTGGTTTAGTGTAGTGTGGTTCAGTGTAGCATGTAGTGTGGTTCAGTGTACTGTGTAGCGTGGTTCGGTGTAGTGTGGTTCGGTGTAGTGTCGCGTGACTCCAGTGTGAGTGCACAGTGTGGTTCAGTGTAGTGTGTAAGCGTGACTCAGTGTAGTGTGTAGCGTGACTCAGTGTAGTGTGCAGTGTGGTTCAGTGTAGTGTGTGGTGTGGTTCGGTGGGTGTGTAGCGTGACTCAGTGTAGTGTGTAGTGTGGGTTCAGTGTGGTGTAGTTCTGTGTAGTGTGTAGCATGGTTCGTGTGGCGTGACTCAGTGTAGCGTGGTGTGGTTCGGTGTAGTGTGCAGTGTGGTTCAGTGTAGTGTGGAGCGTGACTCAGTGTAGTGTGCAGTGTGTGGTTCAGTGTAGTGTGTAGCGTGACTCAGTGTAGTGCACAGTGTGGTTCAGTGTAGTGTGTAGCGTGACTCAGTGTAGTGTGCAGTGTGGTTCAGTGTAGTGTGTAGTGTGGTTCAGTGCAGTGTGGTTCAGTGTAGTGTGTAGTGTGGTTCGGTGTAGTGTATGGCATGGTTCGGTGTGGCGTGACTCAGTGTAGCGTGTAGTGTGGTTCGTGTAGTGTGCAGTGTGGTTCAGTGCTTAATTGTGTAGCGTGACTCAGTGTAGTGTGCAGTGTGGTTCAGTGTTAGTGTGCAGTGTGGTTCAGTGTAGTGTGTAGCGTGACTCAGTGTAGTGTGCAGTGTGGTTCAGTGAGTGTGTGGCGTGACTCAGTGTAGTGCACAGTGTGGTTCAGTGTAGTGTGTAGCGTGACTCAGTGTAGTGTGCAGTGTGGTTCAGTGTAGTGTGCAGTGTGGTTCAGTGCTTAATTGTGTAGCGTGACTCAGTGTAGTGTGCAGTGTGGTTCAGTGTAGTGTGTAGCGTGACTCAGTGTAGTGCACAGTGTGGTTCAGTGGTGTGTGGCGTGACTCAGGTATGGTGTGCAGTGTGGTTCAGTGTAGTGTGCAGTGTGGTTCAGTGTAGTGTGTAGCGTGACTCAGTGTAGTGTGCAGTGTGGTTCAGTGTAGTGTGTGGCGTGACTCAGTGTAGTGTGCAGTGTGGTTCAGTGTAGTGTGTGGCGTGACTCAGTGGAGTGCACAGTGTGGTTCAGTGTAGTGTGTAGCGTGACTCAGTGTAGTGTGCAGTGTGGTTCAGTGTAGTGTGCAGTGTGGTTCAGTGTAGTGTGTAGCGTGACTCAGTGTAGTGTGCAGTGTGGTTCAGTGTAGTGTGTAGCGTGACTCAGTGTAGTGCACAGTGTGGTTCAGTGTAGTGTGTAGCGTGACTCAGTGTAGTGTGCAGTGTGGTTCGGTGTAGCGTGTGCAGTGGTTCAGTGTAGTGTGGCGTGACTCAGTGTAGTGTACAGTGTAGTTCAGTCTTAATTATTGCAGTGTGGTTCAGTGTAGTGTGTAGCGTGACTCAGTGTAGTGTGCAGTGTGGGTCAGTGTAGTGTGTAGCGTGACTCAGTGTAGTGTGGTTCAGTGTAGTGTGTAGCGTGACTCAGTGTAGTGTGCAGTGTGGTTCAGTGTAGTGTGTAGCGTGACTCAGTGTAGTGCACAGTGTGGTTCAGTGTAATTGTGTAGCGTGACTCAGTGTAATGCAGTGTGGTTCAGTGTAGTGTGCAGTGTGGTTCAGTGTAGTGTGTAGCGTGACTCAGTGTAGTGTGCAGTGTGGTTCAGTGTAGTGTGCAGTGTGGTTCAGTGTAGTGTGTGGCGTGACTCAGTGTAGTGTGCAGTGTGGTTCAGTGTAGTGTGTGGCGTGACTCAGTGTAGTGTGCAGTGTGGTTCAGTGTAGTGTGTAGCGTGACTCAGTGTAGTGCACAGTGTGGTTCAGTGTAGTGTGTAGCGTGACTCAGTGTAGTGTGCAGTGTGGTTCAGTGTAGTGTGCAGTGTGGTTCAGTGTAGTGTGTAGCGTGACTCAGTGTAGTGCACAGTGTGGTTCCAGTGTGTAGTGTGGCGTGACTCGGTGTAGCGTGCAGTGTGGTTCAGTGTAGCGTGTAGTGTGGTTCGATTAGCAGTGTGCAGTGTGGTTCAGTGTAGCGTGCAGTGTGGTTCAGTGTAGCATGTAGTGTGGTTCAGTGTAGTGTGCAGTGTGGTTCAGTGTAGCATGTAGTGTGGTTCAGTGCAGTGTGGTTCAGTGTAGCGTATGAGTGTGGTTCAGTGTAGCATGTAGTGTGGTTCAGTGTAGCGTGTAGTGTGGTTCGGTGTAGTGTATGAGTGTGGTTCGGTGTAGTGTGTAGTGTGGTTCGGTGTAGCGTGACTCAGTGTAGCGTGCAGTGTGGTTCAGTGTAGCGTGTGGTATGATTCGGTGTAGCGTGCAGTGTGGTTCAGTGTAGTGTATGGCGTGGTTCTGTGTAGCGTAGCTTGGTGTAGTGAGTAGTGTGGTTTGGTGCACTGTGAGGGCTGTCTGGGCCATTCCTCACCATGTGTTCCCTGCACCATGATGCCCATGTCTGGGCATAGCTTTTCTTTTTGTCTCATTCAGCTCAGGCTCATCCCCTGCAGCTCCCGCCGTCCCCGCGCCCTCCTTTTCTGCCCCCTCACCTCATACCTTGTGTCTCACCGGCACAGCCCTTCACCAGTGCGTGTAGCGTGTAGTGTGGTTCGGTGTAGCGTGACTCAGTGTAGCGTGCAGTGTGGTTCAGTGTAGTGTGTAGCGTGGTTCTGTGTAGCGTAGCTTGGTGTAGTGAGTAGTGTGGTTTGGTGCACTGTGAGGGGCTGTCTGGGCCCATTCCTCACCATGTGTTCCCTGCACCATGATGCCCATGTCTGGGCATAGCTTTTCTTTTTGTCTCATTCAGCTCAGAGCTCCATCCCCCTGCAGCTCCCATCGTCCCCAACGCCCTCCTTTTCTGCCCCCCTCACCCTCATACCTTGTGTCTCACCGGCACCAGCCCTTCACCAGTGCTGCAGAAACGTCAGCTGTGCATGGAGTGGACTGGCCGTTTCTTGAGGAAAATGGGGCTCCCTGGTGGTACGCAAGCACCTGATTCCCTTTATTCCTTTTCTGGGAGGGTTACATGGCCTCTCATGATGAGCGCTTGCCGGGGTTGGGAGGGGTCACCGCAGGCTCAGCTGTACGAGCAGCAGACCCGCAGAGAGGGTCCTCAGCACCAGGGCCCCTCTCACCCCCCAGGACAA